TGAGAAAATGATCTAGTTTCATTCTTCTGCATGTTGCTGTCCAGTTCTCCCAGCACCATCTGTTAAAGAGGCTGTCTTTTTTCCATTGGATATTCTTTCCTGCTTTGTCAAAGATGAGTTGGCCATACATTTGTGGGTCCAATTCTGAGTTCTCTATTCTATTCCATTGGTCTATGTGTCTGTTTTTGTGCCAATACCATACTGTCTTGATGATGACAGCTTTGTAGTAGAGGCTAAAGTCTGGGATGGTGATGCCTCCTGTTTTGGTTTTCTTCTTCAATATTACTTTGGCTATTCGGGGTCTTTTGTGGTTCCATACACATTTTAGGATAGTTTATTCTAGTTTTGAGAAGAATGCTGGTGCAAGTTTGATTGGGATTGCATTGAATGTGTAGATTGCTTTGGGTTGTAATGACATTTTAACAATATTTATTCTTCCGACCAATGAGCATGGAGTATTTTTCCATTTCTTTGTGTCTTCTTCAATTTCCTTCATAAGTTTTCTATAGTTTTCATCATACAGATCTCCTATATCTTTGGTTAGGTTTATTCCTAGGTATTTTATGGTTTTTTGTACAATTGTGAATGGGATCGGTTTCTTGATTTCTCTTTATGTTGCTTCATTATTCGTGTATAAAAATGCAACCGATTTCTGTATGTTGATTTTGTACCCTGCCACTTTGCTGAATTCATGGATCAGTTCTAGTAGGCTTCTGGTGGAGTCTGTTGGGTTTTCTATGTAGAACATCATGTTGTCTGCAAAAAGTGATAGTTTGACTCTTCTTTGCCAATTCTGATGCCTTTTGTTTCCTTTTGTTGTCTGATCGCTGATGCTAGGACTTCCAGCACTATGTTAAACAACAATGGTGAGAGTGGACATCCCTGTCGTGTTCCTGATCTCAGGGGGAAAGCTCTCAGTTTTTCCCCGTTGAGGATGATGTTACCTGAGGGCTTCTCATAGATGGCTTTTATGATGTTTAAGTAGGTTCCTTCTATCCTGACTCTCTCAAGGGTCTTTATTAAGAAAGGATGCTGTATTTTGTCAAATGCTTTTTCCGCGTCTACCGACAGGATCTTATGGTTTTTATCTTTTCTTTTGTTAATGTGATGTATCACATTGATTGATTTGCAAATATTGAACCAGCCCTGTAACCCAGGAATGAATCCTACTTGATCATGGTGGATAATTCTTTTTATGTGCTGTTGAATTCGATTTGCAAGTATCTTGTTTAGAATTTTTGCATCTGTATTCATCAAGGATATTGGCCTGTAGTTCTCTTTTTTTGCTGGATCTCTGTCTGGCTTGAGAATCAAAGTGATGCTGGCTTCGTAGAATGAGTCTGGAAGTTTTCCTTTGATTTCTATTTTTTGGAATAGCTTGAGAAGGTTGGGTATTAACTGTGTTTTAAATGTCTGGTAGAATTCCCCAGGGAAGCCATCTGGCCCAGGGCTTATTTGTTGGGAGATTTTTGATAACTGATTCAATTTCCTCACTAGTTATGGATCTGTTCAGATTTTCTATTTCTTCCCGTGTGAATTTTGGTACTGAGTGTGTGTTTAGGAATTTATCATTTCTTCTAAGTTACCCAGTTTGTTGGCACATAATTTTTCATAGTATTCCCTGATAATTGCTTGTATTTCTGAGGGATTGGTTGTAATAAGCCCATTTTCATTCACGATTTTGTCTATTTGGGTGCTCTCTCTTTTCTTTTTGAGAAGCCTGGCTAGAGGTTTGTCAATTTTGTTTATTTTTTCAAAAAACCAACTCTGGTTTCGTTGATCTGTTCAACTGGTTTTTTTTTATTCTATATTGTTTATTTCTGCCCTGATTTTTATTATTTCTCTTCTCCTACTGGGTTTGGGGTGCTCTTGTTGCTCTCCTTCTAGTTCCTTTAGGTGCGCTGTTAGATTTTGTGCTTGCACTTTTTCTAATTTCTTGAAATAGGACTGTAGTGCAATGTACTTTCCTCTTAGGACTGTCTTTGCCGCATCACATAGAGTCTGAATTATTGTATTTTCACTTTCATTGGCTTCCATATATTTTTTAAATTTCTTCTCTAATTGCCTGATGGGCCCGTTTGCTCTTTAGTAGGGCGTTCTTTAACCTCCATGTTTTTGGAGGTTTCCCAGACTTCTTCCTCTGGTTGATTTCAAGTTTCATAGCGTTGTGATCTGAAAGTGTACATGGTATGATCTCAATTCTTTTATATTTATTGAGGGCTGCTTTATGTCCCAGAATGTGATCTATCTTGGAGAATGTGCCATGTGCACTTGAGAAGAAAGTGAATTCCATGGTCTCAGGATGTGGAGTTCTAAATATATCTGTCAAATCCATCTGGTCCAATGTGTCATTCAAGTCCATTGTTTCTTTAGTGATTTTCTGCCTAGTTGATCTACCCATTGCTGTAAGTAGAATATTAAAGTCCCCTGCTATTAGCACATTCTCACCCATAAGATTGTTTCTGTTTGTGATTAATTGTTTTATGTATTTAGGGCTTCTGTATTCAGTGTGTAGACATTTATAATTGTTAGCTCTTCCTAATGGATAGACCGTGTAATTATTATGTAATGCCCTTCTTCATCTCTTGTTATTGTCTTTAACTTAAAGTCCAGTTTGTCT